TACTTTTACTGTCATTGTTGTATCTCAGCATACAGATAATTGGTTGCATGGTGCGTCAGTTTTTATGAGTTCAGTTTTAGATTTTACACAATTTCATTTACAGCAACTGAAGCTTCAAATTAGATTAGAAGTGTTTGTTCAAACAGGCTTAGAAAGAGCTCTGCGCATAATTCACCAAGACAAGTGAGGACGACTCAGAGGAACTTCATATTGGTATTCCTGATTATGTGAAATTGTTCACTATCACACTTTTAGTTGCACAAATTACTTATTAGATTACTTATTAGACATTGTGTAAAAATAAATTAAAAATAACAAAAATGTATAATGCAGTGCTTGCTCCCTTGAAGCTCTGTGGGATCACAGATGGAGCCAGAAACAAAACCAAGAAACAAACAAACAAAAGAATACAATAAATAGTGTCTGTTTTATTAAATAATGAGTCAGACAGCAGTTGGTGGGAGACCCCAGGCTAGACATGAGGAGAGAGAGACAATTCAGGTTGGACAGTTCAATCTGTTTACCCACAATTCTCACTCAGTAACACTAACGTTGAAATCTTCTACTGTCTGACATTTCATCAGTCAGTTTGGCTTTAAGTACAGAGCGACCTGGAGGGGAAAAAAAAGAAAAGGATGTGGAGTNTTTATAGCTGTGATTGTGACACATTTCATGTCCTCTACTATTTTTTGCCTTTTTAATTTCTCCTTTTTCTCACTTGCTTCTTTCACTTGTTATGCTTCATCTACCGCAATTGATTCATGTCTTCTCCTTCTATTATTTTTTTCTTTCAATTTTTCTCCTTCATGTTCTTATTTTTTGTTGTTCGTTCCTTTCTTCCTTCTTGTCCTACTTCTTTATATTTGTCCTCTAGTCTTCTTGTCATCTTTCTCCTGCTCCTCCTTCTTTCCCTCCTCTCGCTCACCCCTCTCCATCTCCTTGTTCTTTTACTGCACCGTCTTATCCTTGTGTCTCCTCCACCCTCTCCCCCTCTTTTACCTCCTATTTGCATTAGCTTGTTGTCAATTGTCAGATGTAGATCACTCTACGCTACTGTCAAAACATGACACTCATCTCCACTGTCTCTGTGTTTTACCTCATGTCTGCCTGTTTCTCGTATTTATTACATATTTTCAAAACACCTGTATATACTGGTAGAATTTACAGACCTGTACTGTTTACTGTCTGCTGATTTTTATGAGCTGTGTAGGTATAAAAAACTGCTGCATCCATTTTATGTTTATTTTATTGCTTGTAAAGAAAGACGCAGTACCTCAAAGCATTGCAACCACACTGTCTGCCTGCTCATGTCCACGTCATGTGAATGTGGCTCTGCTCCATGAAACTGAAATGCAACGATGCAGACCCCACTTGACATCAAACAATAAGGAAAAACAATCATTTGCCAGGATTATTGTTAGGCCGGAACCTTGTAACACACAACACCAAGCACGTAATATGTTAACCATAGATAGTGAGAAAATTAAATTTTAATCCAGAGGTAATTACATGCATGAAATGTGCTGTGCAGCTATTGTCTGCAGCGTAGCAGCAAGCCTGGAACATGCATTTTTTACAAAACTGAAAGCAATGAAAAGCTCCAGTGGAGCAAAAACACATCCACGTCAGCCTTTCTTGTGCTCACAAAGCATACGACAACGCTGTATTCCCATGATTATGCCATCATGTTTTAATTGTTTTCTCTCAGAGAAAGAAATGCACACCTGTTAAGAATCTATAGCATAAATATATTTAAATATTTCTTTTTGCACCGTATTTCACAAAAACAGGGATCTCCAATCACCTTCGATACCAGTCTGTGGCTACCAAGCCACAAAGAACAAATAAATCAATTTTCAATCAAAGAGAATCCGGTCGGTTCCAATTTTCAGATCTTTTAGATTCTGATACTCACTGAATAAAGTCTAAAAATGTTGTATTAAGAAAATGTACTGATCCTTAACAGTTTTTTAATGATCCTTTAACGATCGATGGACTAGTCCTTAGTAAAAAGAGACTAAAATTTAATTAAAATATTAAGCCAACCAAGTGAGTCATTACTATACTAGTGTAAAACACTGCTCATATACTTCTCTGCCACTCCAGGTCCACAGCAGCTAGTGATGATGATGATGATGATGTAGGTACTGATTGATTGAAAATATCGACTTGGTCATATTTGCGTTCAAATTTCCTTTCATTGGTTTTGTGTATGAACCTGTACACGAAATACTGTTGAATTGTTTGAATGAGCAATCATCCGGGGTCCACGAACGGATTAATTCACTTTAAATTGATTCCCATGTTTTAGTTTTTCAAAGTTTTGGGTTCACAAACGGTCTTCGGGAACAAATTCAGTTTGAAAACCAAGGTTCCAGTGTATTTATTTTATTCTATCACAAAGATAAAAAAACCTTACTTGTATTTGACAATAAAGTAAGAATTTCTCTTGCATTACTATTTATATTTGGCAGAAGAGAAATAAATATCAGACAATAACAGCAAACTCCCAAATGTCCAAAAACCTTGGGGTGTAAATAAACCTTAGCATGACAGCTGACAAAACAGTGCCTATGGAGTTTACGGACTCTTAAGCTGTGCACATAACCCCCAGGACATGACTTCTTCTCCGTCACCCAGGGACCAACTATGCAGCGACAGTAACACAGTGGAAACTTGGAGAACTTATCTGTGCGCTTGTCAAGAGGCTGACAGAGAGTGTGGTTCTACTATAATCTTTTTTTTTGTTTGTTTGTTTTGTTCTAACCGTTGGTGAAAACATATATTTTTCTCATTCATTTAAAAGGAAAAAGCAGCAGTTAAGGCTTTTAAGGGAAATGAAGGTGTATACGGTGTCAGACTCTGACAAAATCAGTTCTATAATACTACAGTATATAGCCCATAATTACACACCGAGATCCAGGAACCTATCATTGACACTTACTGTAGGGATCTGGTTTACGCTAACCTGCTTAGCCCTCAGGAATGCTAATTATCTGATAACGTTCTTATTAACAGCACAGAGCTTTTATGGACAGATGTGATGAGATGTTTAAGGACCTAAGAACTGGCACTCTCTGTACTGTACCTCATCCACAAGAAAAGTAAAGACATATTTAATGACTTTTGCAGGTTTTTTCACCCCCTAGATACTTCCATAGCTGTGAGCAAATTAACCATCCGTTCTTTTTGTTTATTCATATCAGGTTGAATGAGGTGAACCTTTTTTTCTTTTACGGATCACCATATTCACAGTACAGTTGATCTAAGAAGTCCTGCCGTAGCTCTGAGACATCTGAATCATTCAAACCGAGTCTTCAGCTGCATTTCTTTGATATGGCACATTTTCCTGTTGCTTGTCTCCATTCATTACAGTCTGCACCTGCATTGCGGTACAGCTGGTATTATCAATAAAAGGAGTGCAGCACAAGATTTTACACGTTGTTTTCTGTCATATTTTCTCTCCTTTCACTGAGATATATTCATATTGGCTGTGGGGTACACTTAGTTAGGCTCAGGGTAATAAGCAGGATTTAAAGAGTTGTAGAAGAAATAGGTTGAACATCTTTACATTAAAGACATTGTGTATTCTAACACAAGTCATGATGACTAACATTATAAAGGCTTTATCATGGAGCAGGTTACAACCAAACAGGTGCGAGCATCATGACTGCGTTCATCAATAGGCACTGTATGAGAAGTTGTTTTCAAGATTTATAAAAACAGTGTAGATCTATTTCTTCCTCTACAGTATATGTATATGCAAATGTATCTATACATGGAAAGGAAAATCAGACAGTCAGGAACAGAAGTTGGTGAGAAACTTCAGGGGGTATTACAGCCTGAAACAATTATTATTATTATGTTTTGGCAAATATGTGAAGCGTAATTAAAGTAAAATTTGAATGTGCCCTACTGGGAAATTTGCTTCTGTCCTAATTTTTGCAATGTGTTTAATGGATTCAATTCAAATGTAGGTAATGTTTAACCAAAATATCAAACAACACAGATTGGTTTTTCTCTAGTATTTTGTACTTTAACAATAACAACTCGATCTTGTTTTTAGCTGTAGATGTTTTAACAGTTCGGTTCGACGGCTCGATCACTTTTTTTCTGATTCTACATTATATATTTTATTTGATCAATAATCCTTTGTTCTTTGTCAGCCTCAATACCCACCCTGACCGTATTTAGTTATTTACTGACCCGCTGAGTCACAAAGGTTGGTCAAAGTTATAAAGTTGTTACTGTGTGTAAGATAAGGAAAGTCTTACACAGATAATAGCAGAGTTCCTCCCTTAAACACTTTATGAATCCCCGGACTAGGAGAAGTGTTTTTGAAGACCCTGCAGCTCCACAGCTTTGCACCGCTCAGAAGAATAATAAGTTCTGGTAAAAACTTGACTGAGTTGGCAGGAGCAGGAGACAAGGGAATCATCCAGAGAGCCCAGGGGTATTGAGGAGAAAGAGGAGAGCGAATACGTTTCCTCTGCAAAACCAATTAGCAAATGACTCTCCGCTCCCACTGAAGAAAAAAAGCGGATGGAGCAAAAGGAAACACAGTGAGCTGTGTGTGCCTGTCTCCGCATGTGGGTGGTGATGGACAGTTGTTAAGTGCACTGAACGCTGCTGTCTGCTTGGTGTGCATTCCTTTCTGTGCTTTGCAGAGCCTCCATCACCTAAAAGACACTGAAACACGTCCGTAACTTTTAAAATGAACCTGCATCTGTCTGATAAAAAGAAAGCTGAACATGATATTTCTTTGACACATGAGCTTACCACAGAACAAACGCATCAGTCTGTTCCATTTTTTGTACCATACTTGCTGTCGTCTGACCGTCTACAATTTCAATGTTATTGCTGGTAAACAATGGAAAATCAATAATGATACAGTGGCCAATTTATAGCCTTCACAAGACTAATTGTGTTATTTTTTTGGTGACACCTATTAAAAGAAACTTCAGTTTGTAGAACGCCAACACGAACAGAATTGTTAAGTTGTCGTATTGTTTATTGTAAATTAAAAATCTTTGTTTCCCCAGAGTAAAGTGAGGTAAACAAGAGCCTTATGTGACAATAGGACAAGATAAAATACTGGTTGACAAACACAACAGCCTTGGATGAAACTGGATGAAACACTTTTCACAAAACAAAAAAATTACAGGTTTTCCAAAAACACGTTCTAGATTTTAAGTGAGTGTAATCGAACTTGTTGGGTCTTTTTATCTGATTTTATTCTTATTTTGAGCCAATCCCACTGTTTCTGTTTCGGCTCCTGCCGACTTTCACAGCAAATATGCTGGGTTTAACTGTCTCCAGCATGGATAATGTGTCTGCGATGGGTTTCAATCCAAGCCCCCTGACTGACAGGCACAGCGGCATTAAAAAATAATGGAAAGGGGCTCTAATAATGTACCTGAGAAAAAATAGCCACTGTGCTCTGAGTCCAGGTTTTGTTATGCGACAAGGAAAGCAGAGACACAGGTTTATGATTACTGAAATAAATGGAGCATTCCACAAAAATCCACAGTGTCATTTAAATGCACAGGATCATGATTAACCATATTGTGTACAAATAGCAGCAACCCCAACCCTGCCAAAATAAAAAAAAAAACAACCTGTCACTATCTCAAAGTCAGTGGCACTGTTCAAAGTCCATAAGCAAAGCCGCTCTTGATGTGCTTAACCTTGGAGCCATTTATCACACACACAAGCTGGAATGGTTTGAAATAAATTCAGTCAATTGCCTGCCCTTAGTTATTTTAATCTTTTCCAGCAGATTTCCACCAAAAAGTGAAACTTTTTTTCTTCTCCAAGCTTCACCATTGACAAGTTCAAAAGCAATCACAAATCAATGGAAGCTAGCTTCAAGTCTGTACCTTGAGGAAATAAAAACAGCCACTGGAGACAGTGAGACTGTGCAACTTTTGATATTCAGTTCAGGAGTTTCTCTTCACATTCACAACATCCATCCATCTAACATATGGAGGCGGACTCAGACGTCCCCTGGCGTGTAGATAATTTACACAACAGGTACTCTCTTCCGAGTTGTGTGATTGGTCAAAGACATACTGATGATTCCCAGAACAGAGCTGTGCGTGCTTTATTGATTGCATCAACTGTTGCAGTAACAAGGGAGCTAGTTAGCCAGCAGTCATGCTCTCTCCTTTTTCTCTGAAGCGATACGAGAGTAAACACCATGTCTCGTTTTCTGATCATATTTGCTTCAAATGTGAGTGCTGTTGTCTGGATACGTATATGTTGGTAGACACCGGTTTGGTGAAAGTGCATTTTGATGTGTTTACCTGAGATAAGATCAGTATTATAGTGATGCTTTTGATGCCCATCCCAAGTGATTCCATCATCTCAGGTTGCAGAAAAAGTAACCTGCAGGCAAAAAGAGAATTTTATATTTAGTTTAGTTTTAAAGAAGACTGTGTGAAGCAGGCTGGGAAGCAGATTTGATAAATAATGAAAAGAAAAATCAGACTTTTCATTAGGACAAGGCAAAACAAGGCAAAATCAAAAAAAAAAAAAAAAAAGAGTCAGTTTCAACAGATTTAATTCACAGCACAGTTCAACCTTGACACAGCAGCAGAATCGACTCTGATGAAGTTAAACTTTATCATCATTTCTAAAGGTCCGGGTTTTCTGCTCGTTAGGAAAAAAAAAATTCAACCTTGAGCTTTCAAGCAAAACAGATTTAGCAGTGCTCTCAAGTATTGCAGTTTCAGAGGCTTAAAAAAGTGTGGCGTTGTATTCCATTCACGGCTGTAGTTCATTCTCAATCACAATACTTATGTACAGTGAAAAGTTACAGCACAGCCTCTGCAAAATATAATTCATAACCACTGACCAGACAGGATGCAGATGATTCAGATGTGTCAGAATACGAGCGTGGCCTACTAAAAACACATGCCCCACCAGTGCAGCAATTACCAGGATAATGATAATACTAAGCCCACCAAGGATGGAATTAAAACTCAGGAGCTGTGTGTGGTGGGTTACCTTCTCTGATCTGTAATTTTAATCCACCCACATAATGCCTGGATAGAGCCTGGAAAAACATCAACTCTAGTTGTGCTGCAAATGTGGTGAGACATTGTGATGTGTGGACAGAATGGAACTGTCACAGAGATGAGGGTTTACCTCCTGAAGTGAAGAAGTTTAGCAACGCTGTCACTCACTCACTCACTCACTCACTTACTTACTTACTCACTCACTCACAACAATTCACTCGGTCAATGGTGGAGGCAGCCGAGCAGTCGACAAGTTGCCGACTTTTCTCTGAATCGCTATTGCTGCAAATAAATATTTCTCACTTACATGACTATTTCCCACTTATGTGACCTTATGTGACCTTATGCTGATCATACCTAGTCACAAAAACCAGTGTGTGAACCAGTGCGAGTCTGTGCTTATTCCTGCCTTAACCCTTTATTTTTTGTGTCTGTATGTCTGTTTTGACCAATAAGAATTGGTTGCGGTGGACTCTTTATCCAGCAAAACAACACACACGTAGAAACACATTACAATTAAAAATAAAACAGATGACATACAACTGCGTATTCTACTTTAGTAAAAGGTTTCCTTGTACAATTACAGACAATAATAGATTTAAAAAAAGTAGCATAAACCACAAAAGAAGTCCAGCTGTCAATCTAAAACCAATCTGAGACACAATTTCTAATCAATGTGAGGTTCGTTTCCTCAGGTTTCAGCATTAATACACAGACAATGCAAAAGTCACGCAAATGCATTCAACACCAGTGGAATAATGTGGGGTCATATTTCTATACATTACATTGTCGCTGCATAGTTCACAGTGTCTCCATGTGGTGTTCACATGCACATCTGTGTGAAATTACCACTGATTTACAGTGACAGCAGTTCTCTAATCACACACTCAGCTACCAGGGCTGCACACTAATCATTTTTTCAAGGATAGTCTAATGCACACCATATGATTTCCTCACTGTAAATCTTTGCAAATGAGAAAAAATTCAGAGGAAGGACAAAAAAATTGAGCATACTTAAAGAAGTTTTTTTTTTTTCATGAATTTATGCCGAGGCAAAAATCAAATTTGATGAAAAGGGAAAGGAGAAAGTAAACTTACTACAGAGCAAATCTCTTGTGGCGATAGTTTGAAAGAATTCTCCTGAAATTTAAAATTAAAGAACTTCTGCTGCACAGTTGGCTTCCAAAAAAGCTACTCGCTTCCATGTTTAAAGTACTTCAGTAGAATTTTGCTGAGTTTTGTTGTCCTCTGTCCATCCGACTGGTTTCAAATGTCACATTAATTATATTCTGAATCATCTGTTGGTTGATGTCATTTCCTTAGTGACCTTTAACTGACAGAAAATCAGCTGTGACAAACCAAGGTGTGTCAAAGGATAGCTCATGTACCACCTGACTCATCAGTATATTCCACAGATGCAATAGTATCAATATACAATAAGCTTATCTGAATCAATAGAAGTAGTTATATAGCCAAGTAAAATGTTAAATTACATAAAAAAACATCAAACGAGCTCAAATGAGACATCTAAGCAGTTCTGGTATTTTGAGAAGATAGCAAGAGTGATATAGCAGTATTACAACTAAATATATTCTAATTTTCAACTAGTAACAATATTTAGCAATTAAATGTTTTTTTCTGTGGATGGTGTGTTCAGTTTTAATTTTAACAGCTAGTGTTCAACACACTTAAATGAGATGGTTATTTAAAACGTTAGTTTATTTTTTCGATATCTTTGATGCAGTACCCAGTTAGAGAAATTATATTTAATAGGACTATTAAAATGTTGTATTAATGCTTGTCAAAATTAGGTCATGTTTGCACTTTTATAAACTGGGAAAAATAATTCATATCATTTTCTCTAGTCTGATTAAGCTTTGATAACATCGTCTGGCAACGACCTACATTTTTGAGTTCCTCTCTCTCCTCACTTCCTCCGTTCATTTCCTTGGAGGTTATGGATGATTCATACTCTAATTCACCATTTTGGGTTTTTTTTGAGTGCAAAATGGGAAGCAATAGGACAGTGTGAACTGATGAAGAATAGACACAGACCCAGAGACAGAGAAACAGGGGTGAGGAGAGGGAGAGGGAGAGGGAGAGATTGTGAGGCAAAGAGGGAGGAATTATGATCTATTTTTAGTCTCCAGCTGTGTTAGTCATTCTGAAACAGTGCTCGATAGACAGACCGCAGGATGACGGCAAAACAAGGCCTGCAACACATGACACGCATGATGCTTTGTGGACGCTTGCCTCCACGAGATCAAAACGCGCATGACACTATGTATCTACGAACGTCTCTCTCCTAACATGACGCTGGATTAGCATAAATCCCTGTAGAATAATATTCCTAATTGAGCGAGGCTTGCTCTTGTGTACCCCGAGTGTGTGGTGTTTGCAGCTTTCCCCTCCCTGCTGTTCATTTATTACACTCTTAGCCAAGTATCTGCTACATAAGAGGCGAGCGAAGTAACTCCATATGTTGGTTTTAATCCCATAAGCAGACTTCATAAATAAGTTGTTATTATGTGTGCCATTCTTTGGCACTGAGCTGCAGCATAATACCTTAAATGAAATCAGGGCAGGATGTGTAAAGGAAAGTGGGTTAAGGAGCCGCTGTGTTTGGAAGTCACCAACAAAACTGGGTGAAGGTCTCTTGGCAGGTAAAAACTGTACTTCGAAAGAAAACTTTACTGTCTTACAATACACAGAAGGTATCAGTTCTTACCCAGGTTCTTAGGCGAGACTGACATTAGATTCATCTTTGTCTGACTGCAGGCTGCCACAGGCTTCTCTTACGCTATGTACACACTTCATCTGTCACAGGGCACGGAGAGTGAGCTCAAGTCGATTAAGGAAGCACAAACGTGCATCAGGTAGATCTCTCTATCTGTGTTCTCTATCAAACTACAGACAGTACACTACATTCCTGTTGGCAAACATGGCTTAGAAGAACCTCTGATTAGTGGCCCTTAAATGCTCAAGCTGAAACATGGGGATTTGAAATTGCAGCCCAAAGCTCAGGATAATTCTCTAGAGCTTTCAATGAATTGTGCAGGTACATGTGACTAAATGTCTTTTTTCTTGTGAAAACTAATTTCTCTACACTTTCCAGCAGGACACGTCAGAAACACTGCAGGAACATATTTCTTGGATAATCTGAAGTATGTAATGAAAATGTTGGAGATGGAATGCGCTGGAAAATGAAATGAAAGGCTTATATGGAAAAAAAGACAACGTAAAAACTATTAGTAGAAAATAGTATTGAGGGGAAATGCAACTTTTTTGCAATTTCTGCCTAAAAAGACAGGAAAAAAAAGTATTTAACTTTTATTGTAGAACACAGGATTAAGGATATGATGAATGTGTCAGTTTTGTTCTGAAGCATCATTATTTTTTGTTGTGTTCCAGAAAATTATTTTCTTTTGTCATGATCAATAAGTAACAACTTTAAAAGTAATACCAACAGGTTCACACCAGTCAATAAGTAACAACTTTAAAAGTAATATTTTTTTAAGACCAACAGGTTCACATCACATTCTCAGCAATTATCAACAAATGAAAATCTCCAAAGTTAAAAGTAACAATGTGTTTATAGAAATTCCACTAGCACAAGCTTTTAGTAGTTTACTGACTAACCAAATACCACATCTGTCTTTGACCTTATGTTTCGCAACTGAAAAAGGTGTTATTGCTGAAGTGCCAGTAACTGTATTTGTTTTTCCTACAACAAAATAACAGGGGTTCCCAACCCCTGGTCTGAGGACCGGTGCCGGTCTGTGGGTCATTTGGTACCAGGTACCGTAATTGATTTCACTCAAAAAGGATCCAGTCATATCCAGTCAAACGGATAATCTGGCAATGTTCCAAAACAACAGGTCACTCAGACTCAGATACTAACAATTAAGTCTAAAATATGTTTTATTTAAAAAATGTAATGATCCTTCAATGTGCGATATTACCAGTCCACAGTAATGGCTGATACCGGCTGACCGGTCCTTGGTATAAAATAGGTTGGGGGCCGCTGCCTTATAAAACTTTAATCTTTTCAATGATAGCTCAGATCTCGGGGACAATTCAGGTAGAGCATTTTAGAGTTAGAGTTAGAGAGGTGAGGTTGAGATGTTTCCGGCATTGGACAAAAGATATAAGAGACAGATTTGGTTGGTGTGAAAGCAGAGAGTTAGTATAGGGTGAGAGAGAATAGGGTGAGATGGATGAGTCATGAGTCACTGACCCCTGGAGAGAACAGCTGAAAGAAGAAGTAGAAGGTGACAAGTCAAAAGGTTCATCTCTTCTGCTCAGAAACCTTGGTGTCTAACAATCCTCAAACGTAAATTAGAGAACCATAAGTCATCATATTTTGCA